GATGGCAAATAACAACAACAACAACAATGTAAAGTAACTGCTCCACCTCAAGGCCAGCAAATGCATTGCATCTTCAAACCTAAAGCTGCCCCCATCCCCACCCCCACCATGTAACCCAGCACAGCCACAGCTTGCAGGGATGTGGGCAGGGGCATCTTTAGGGAACACTGTTCTGCTGACCCGAGTCCCAGGTGTTGCAAATGGTTAACATGCTCAACTGCTAACTGAAAGGCTGAAGGTTCGAGTCCACCCACCGCCTCCTCAGAAGAGAGATCTAGCCTCTACTTCCAAAAGATCAGCTACTGGAAACCCCGTGGAGCACGGCTCTCCTCTGACATACAGGGGTCTCCCTGAATTAGAATCACTCCACGAGCGGACAAACCACCAATTCTGCGAGCAGAGGATAGTCCACTAGAGGGCACCAGCAGATTCCCTAATTTAAAGAAAAAAAACAACAGATTCAGACTCCCAGTGACCCCATAGGACAGAGTGGAACTGCCCCATAGGATTTCCAAGGCTGAGGGGGAGTGGATAACGGATTTGGCTGCTAACCGAAGTGGAAGTGCTTCCGACTCACCAGCTGCTCCATGGAAGAGAAATGGGACAGTCGGGTTCCATAGAGATTCACATCCTTGGACCCAATAGGGGTCCTACCAACTCAGTGGCAGTGAGTTTTTATTGTTGGCTTTGTTTTGCTTTGTTTTTGAATCTTCACAAATTTGTCTTGAAATAAATACAGCCAGATTACTCCTTAGAAGTGAGAATGGAAAGATTTCATCTTACACTTTCAGGCATATTACCAGGAGGGACGAGTGCCTGGAGAAGGATGTCATGTTTGGTAAAGTAGGGGGTCAGCAGGAAAGAGGAAGGCACTCAGCGAGATAGACTGACACAGTGGCTGCTTCAATGGGCTGCAACCATCGCACTGACTGGACAGCACCCAACACCAACTACAACCTGTACAGAAGGAGAGTGCAACGATACACCTTTCTCCCACAGAGCGGCTGGCGGGTTCGAACCAATGACCTTAACCACTTAACCACTGCACCACCAGGGCTCCTGGTTCCTTCATATAAACATCACATTTCAGAGAACATTTGATGGTATTGAACACCGTTATCATCCCTGAAAGGAAAGTTCAACATACAAGTCTCCACAGTGGGGCTCTCACAGGTTAGTGGTAGAGTTAGGAAGATGTGTAAGTAGACGGCCTTCCTCAGACCTGTGTGGGCTGTGATAAAGAAGGAGGATTCGGGAGTGGGGGAGGTTCTAGTCCCTGTCTGTGCTGACCCAGGGAACAGAAATTGTTATGTGTTTAAGGGGAGGGAATGTGCCTTCCCCTGCAGTGATGTTTGAGAAAGGGCTCCTCTGGGAGGGATGTAGGTATGGGTATTTTCGTCAAGACTTTGCTAGTCGGCATGGGCAAGAGACACAGGGAATCGCTTCTCTGAGTGGCTCACAGGATGAGGCTGAGAACACTGAGGAAGCTGGGGGAAAGAGGTACGTGGACAGGACAGCCCAGAGGGAAAGGCCCTGAAACTGCCCCGAGAAGGAGGTAAGGTGTGTGGACAGGACAGCCCAGAGTGAAAAGCCAACGAACATGCCAAGGACCGAGGGAGATGCCCCAGGGCATTGAGGGGCTCTGTCTTCATCCTAGTCCTTTTGTGTGGGCACACGAGCCTGCCCAACGCACTGAACATGCACAGGGTGAGCGGAAGAGATCCAAGGGGAGGTTCCAGGAGGAAGGGTGGGGACAACAGACTCCCAAGACAAAGATATTGGGGACTTGGGTTCAGCCCCTTTGGCACCTTGGGTGATATAAGGAACGACAGACCAGAGCAGCTTCAGTGTCAAAGGGACAGGCTAGGCAAAGCTGTGTGTCTGAGGAGCATTCATTAGCTGGAGGAAAGGCTAAAAAGAAAAAAAAAGTTGCCATGGACTCAGTTCTGGCCCACGACAACCCCATGTGCATCAGAGCAGAGCGGCGCCCCTGGGTTCTCCTGGGGCCATCTTAACGGAAGCAGCTAACCAGGCCTTCCTTCCACGTGCCCCCGGGTGAGTTAGACCCTTCAACCCTTCAGTTAGCAGTCACACACAAACCCAGCGACCTCCTGGACTGGGTATGGGCCAGTAAGACAGGCCTGACTGAGCTGTTACACACAGGGCCGCTTAAAGAGGGTGCAGCAGACAGCCTGATGTCAAAGCCCTGACTTTTCGCGCGGAGGCAGGACTTCTCAAGCAGGAAAGTGCCGTGTAAATCCTATGGGCGGTCCACGCGCTCACGGCCCTAAGTGAGGGTCAGGTATGTCTACCTGCGGGCATCCTCAAGGGCCGCGGTTCCCACGCGCCTGCGCCTTTCAGAGCAGGGATGACTCTGGCCCAGGCGCAGACTTACGCAGCCTGTGATCTGGTCCCTGGGCGGTGCCGCCTGGTAGCCCCGCCCCGAGCAGAGAGGAAGTCCCGCCTCACAGCAGAGCTGCAGCTGCCAGGAGCAGGAGCCGGGCTGGCAACCCCGGGACCCACCATGCGCGCCCGGTTGCTCTCCTGCGCGCTCCTCTGTCTCCTGGGGACAGGTGAGCCCCGAAGACGCATACAGGGGAGTGCTGGGCCCTGGCAGCCCGAGCTGGGGGCTGCAAGGGCCCGCTCTCCATGGCCCTGACTCCGCCTGTGTCTCCCCAGTCCCCGCGGAGGCCAGGGTGACCCAAACCCCAAGACACCGCATCGCCAAACGCGGGGAGACGCTGAAGGTGGACTGCGCACTTAGAACCTGGGCCACGACGCCATGTACTGGTACCGGCAGGACCCGGACCGCGGGCTGCGGCTCCTCCACTACTCCATCAACACTGAGATCCTGCGGGAGGGGGAGCTCCCCGAGGGATACCAGGTGTCCAGAACTGAGAAAGCGCGCTTCCCGCTGACGCTGGAGTCCACGGTCCCCAACCAGACCACCCTGTACCTCTGCGCCAGCAGCTTGTCCACAGCGCGGCGGGCTCTGCAGCTTCCTGCACACAAAGGTTTTCACGGAGAGCAAGCCGGGCCAGGAGGCGCTGCAGCAGAGCCCGGCCACAGGACTCCCACCTGCAGCCAACCCCAGCTCTGCCTAGGCAGCGGGCTGGCCCACGGTGCAAACCAGCTGGTCAGGATCATCGAGGCAGGAAGAGCAAAGGAGGGCAGTCCCGTGCTGGTGCAGAGAGGCCTCTTCTAGCTCGGGGCCCCCTGCAGCCCGACCTCTGCATCAGCACTGTTCCGGTTCCCTAGTGCCTCTGACAGGAATATACCACGAATGGGATGCCTTATCAAACAGGAGTTTATTCTCTTACAGTTTGGAGGCTTTACTCCAAGTTCAAAGTGCCAGGCTCTAGGGGCTGGTGAAAGCACCTTGACCTTGGGGTCCAGCTCTGCCTCCTGCTCCCGGACCACTGGAGCTAGAGGCGTTTCTTCACACAGACAGCTGCTGGCTGCTGAGGCTGACAAGCCTAAGGTTGACAAGTAAAAAGACACAGTCCTGATGTTACCAAACCACACGGCAGGTCATTAACTTAAGTCCATTGTAAGTCCCAAGGTCGACAGAGCATGCCAGGCTGCTTAGCAACGACACGGCTACATGCAGGGTCCAAGTATGCAATAGGCTAGAGACCATTCCCAAGGCTTCTCCTTAAATACAGACCACATCCCAAAGGCAGCTACTCAGCTGCTTGTGGTAGATCCCACCATGAAGTTGATTGCTAGTCTCATCATGGGGAATAACTACCACCAGCTGCCCAGCCACTCAACCAGGCCCAGCCAAGTTGACACACAAACATAACCACCACAAGCACCATTGTCACCCAGACCCAATCTGGGTTTTCATTCTGCTCAGCTGACCAGACAACCTCAGTCCAGGTGCACTCCTGGCTGTGGTGGTGTTGGGGGGATAGCACCTTCTAGCTTGTTGACCAATCTGACATCTTCCTCCCTCTCAGCAGACCACCCCTACTCACACACACACTGCCAGATGCCCACCCAATGACTCTATGGGTCATCCGAACTGTCCACTCCTTCCTCACCAGCCTGCGGGGCACCCTAAACACATCTGAGAACTAAATGCCTCAGAGCTTTTACTAGGGTGGCTAACCTCACCAAGAACACAGCAGGGAATAAACCTCGTCCTGCGCCTGGATTCCTCTAACCCTTTCCCAGGTGTGTGACCGCCTGCAAGTGTGCCCTGCTCGCACCCACAACCTTCCGGCTTAAAACCCTTCCAGGCCTTTCCACGAGCTCAGCTGCATCCTCACGGCCCTGTGAGTTTGCAAGTCCTCCAAGACCCTCCATGGCCCAGCCTCTGCTCACCTGCCCACCTTCCTCCTTGGGACACCCCTTCTGCCTCCTTCAGTCATCACACTGGGTGTGGGCTCACACACACACACAGATTGATGCTCCCTGGAGGAAGGGGAGGCCTCCGTTCTCTAGTGGCTGAGGGAAATGCATGTGGGCAGAAACAATGACATCATAGACAACCACCCCACCCCACCCTGTGTCTGAGGAGGACCTGTTAACCATCAATGTTGCCATGGGGGCCAGGCTCCTTTGTGGTGTGGCCTTTTGTTTCCTGGGAACAGGTAAGTCCTGGGAGTTCATTCAAACCCCTGTCCTCTGATTCCTGCCATGGACATGTGTTTTCCTCTCACCAGGCTCTCTGTGGGCTCTTTCTCACCTCCTCTCCCCCTCACAGGCCTCATGGGCGCACAAGTAACCCAGACCCCGAGATATCTGGTCCAAAGGACAGGGAAGAAAGTCTTGCTGAAATGTGTACAGAATCTGCAACATGACCGAATGTTCTGGTATCGGCAAGACCCGGCTATGGGGCTGCGGCTGATCCATTACTCATATGAGGTCGGCAACACTGAGGAGGGAGACATCCCTGATGGGTACAACGTCTCCAGGAAGATTCAGGAGAGCTTCCCCCTGACCCTGGAGTCAGCCAGCCTCAACCAATCGGCTGTGTACCTGTGTGCCAGCAGCGAAGCCACGGAGACGTACGCCCACATCCTCCCTGCACAAGAAGGGCTGCTGCTGGCTCCATGGCACGTCGTGCCCCACGTGACATGAGACACCCAGCCTGCTGGCACACGTCTGGGCGGGCAGAGCAGGGGAGAGAGTCAAGCCCCACTGCCCGCCTTGCTAAGCCAGGGGTCTCGCTGAAGTTAACGGCCCAGCTTCAAGTGTGGTCTCCAACCCAAGTCCACGAGGCTCTACCCCCACAGGAGAAGACAGCCCTTCAGCGTCCACACTGCAGGCATGTGCTGTGTCTGTGTCCTTCCCTTCCTGGCCCACATCCCGTTGCTAGCAAGCCCATCCAACTCACGGCCCCACGAGTGTCAGGGTAGAGCCATGATCCACCGGGTTTTTCCGGCTGTAATCGTTAAGGAGGCCGGTTACCAGGCCTTTCTTCTTCAAACCTGACGCCTTTAGACCAGCAGCTGAGGGTCTGTGCTGCTCTGGGACCGTTTCCTATGCCAGGGCCTCTTGTTAAGCATTCTCTGCTTTGTCGGCCTCTTTGCTCTTGGCTGATGCATCACTAGAGGGTGCTAGCACACTCTAAACTCTTCAGGTAAACTTTCGTTTCCACGTGTGGATTCAGGAGAGCCCTGGTTGGAACTGACTTCTGTTCACTCACGTTAAAAAGATCTAATTTTCAAAACCCTTCTCCAGGTGCTCATAATGGTCAGTGATGTCTTGGAAGCAATTCTGGCCAGAGGAAGAGAAAAACATGATGCAGAAAGTCATAAAAATTAGTGAGGCTATGTCCTACCCCGGAGCCCTGATGGCACAGTGCTTAAGGGCCTGACTACTAAGTGAAAGGTGGGAGGTTCTAACCCACCAGCTGCTCTGCAGGAGATGAATGTGGCAGTGGGCTTCTGTAAAGATTACAGCCTTGGAAACTCTCTGGGGGAGGGCTACTCTGTCCTCTAGGGACACTGTGAGTAGGCACCAACTCCACAGCAGTGGGTGTGGTTTGGGCTTTGTTTCCCTGAAGATTGACAGCCTTGGAGACCCTGTGGGCAGATCCACTCTGTCCTCTAGGGGCGCTGTGAGTCAGAATCGACTCCAGGCAGTGGGTGTGGTTTGGGCTTTGCTTCTGTGAAGATTGACAGCCTTGGAGACCCTGTGGGCAGTTCCACTCTGTCCTCTAGGGGCGCTGTGGGTCAGAATGGACTCCAGGCAGTGGGTGTGGTTTGGGCTTTGCT